AAAATATAAATGCTAATCAAATTTGGTTTATGAGTTGGTGTTGACGTGTCATAAAAAAAAATTTCAGATCAACACTTTTTTAAATTGTTTTCGCCATGTCATAAAAAAATATAAAAAATGCCACATGGCGGAGTTAACGGTCTAAATTGACAGAAATACTAACGGTGTGCATTTCTTAGAGTTAAGGGATCAAAAAAGTGCAAAAAATTATTGAGGGACCAAAAATGTGCAATTCACTAAAGTTGAGGGACCAAATTTAGCATTTAACCTATAATTTATGAATATTGATGCAAAGAATGAAAATTTTAGAATAAAATTTGAAATCAATGGTGTGGCATGAATTATGTTATTAAATGAGTTAATGTATAGAATCGTTACCTAATATAATTTCTATACACGAAAATAATATAGGTACAATATTATGTGATATAAATTTATAATTATAATACATCATTATATAGCTAACGATCTAAATAGTTCAGTGGTTATCTCTTTTTACTTCCACTGAAAATAAGAGGTCCTGAATTCGAGTGACATAGCATGCGGGTGAGGTGAGATAAGGGATAAGAGATAGTTACCCCCCCATTGTGTGACCAAAATAAAAAAAAAAAAAAATATATATATATATATATCATTATATAATTAATTCTTTTTACTCAAAGATGTATTTATAATATTATATATATTTACTTATTTAATAGCACATTATAATTGTAAATTTATAAATCTATGTCACTTGTAACTACTCTCTTTGGTTAGATTTAATAGTCTCAATTTGATTTTTACATAAAGTTTGACTAGATGATTTTATATAATAATTAGATAACAACTGAATTTTTTTTATACATAGTTTTTTGTTGAGTATTTTCACTTAAATAAAAAAATTTTAATTGTTATATAATTATTATATAAAATTATCTGATCAAATTTTAAATAAAAGTCAAATTAAGAGAATTAAATTTGATAATGCTATAATTTTAATGCCACATATAATTATAAACTTATAATTATGACATAATATTAAATGAGTATGATATAACATTAAATGTGTAGATATATATGATATCATAAATATGTTTTCGAATGAAAAGAGTCAATTATATAATAATACATTATGTATTAAACTTATAATATTATATGATATTGTAATTATAGCACTCTCAAATTAAATTTGACTAAAGTATAACATTACTAATATATAATTTATAATAACACTTGATATTGTAAGGATTGTCCTTTTAAATTAAATATTACTAGAGTATAACGTTGCCAATATATAATTGATTTTTTTTTTTTTTTATGTTGGTTGTACAACGAGAGATAAATCTCTTTCATCCTTTTATCCTATTTCACTCGCATGTCATGCAACTTAAACTTAAGACCTCTTACTTCCAGCGAAAAGAGATTACCACTGAGTTACTTATAACGTTAGCCATATATAATTGACTTAGTCTTGGAAAATTCGTTTTTCAATATTGACTTTCCCAATAATTAGCTAAGTAATCCCCTCAAAGCTGGCAATCTTGTATTTTGACCAGATACTTCTGTCATTGTCAAGATGCTTAAGCCACCATTGTTATGTTAACCAGAAACTATGGGACAATTAAAAGAAGGGAATGGGAAAAATTAAGATGTGTTAACATTTAAAATGTTATGAATAATAAGAAAAAAATTAAAATATTTTTAATAAGATATTCATAAAAAATTTATTAGGAGTATTTAAACAATTTCATAATGAGTCATAACATTTAAAATATTAGAACATATTAATTTTCACTTCTCTTGTTTAAAGAATTAAATGTAATTATTATTACAAGGTCTTTTCTATTATCAGTCATGTTCAATTATAAGTCTTGGGTCAAAGACATATTATTCATCTATGTCAAGATTCAAAACATATATATATTGCTATTAATCCTTACTTTATAAAAATTTAGAGTCCTAATATTAAACATCCTTAAACCCAATTCAAAATTTTAAAAGAAAGAATACCTTATCCCTTATATACTTTCTCAGGCATTGCTCTCTCTCTCTCTCTCCTAGGATTAGGGTTAGCGTTAGTGGATCTCTCTCCCTTTGGAGTTGCTCTCTTCCTAATCAAATTCATTATTATTCCACCCTTATCATCTCTTATTCAATTTCTTTTTGCCCTTACTTTCACATATTATTGTTTTTCTCTTGATTTGTTGCGGGTATGGCTTCATCCTAAAAACCAAAGCAAATCCTTTCATTGGTGGTGTTGCATGATAGTTGGAAATTTTAATAGATTGCATGTGGGTGGATGAAGACTATGGCAAGATTATAATGGCTTGTAGTTCATTTTGGTGGCCAACTCTCAACAAATCCAGGGATGGAACCATGGAACATCAAATGGGCAGGGACTTGATCAAGGGATTAATGATCTATAGAGTGCAAAGAAGAAGAGGGCATAGATCTGGTACTACAAAGGAAGAATTTGTTTTTAATTTTGATGGGTTCCATGGATTAAGGAAATCAATGGCATCAAAGAGGAAGGAAAAGATACACTAGCGAACAATAGTGGTTTTGCTTGTGTGCTTCAGGACAAGAGCAGTAGCCCTCCTCCATGCTAAATGATTAAGATTGGGTCTTCTATGTATGGGATGGGGACTGCATTTATCCAATAATCTTTGTTCTCCCCTAAGGCTAGCATGACAAAAGGGTCATCTAGTGGCTAACAATACTCGTTAAGGTGACTTTACTATGTTTTTAGTCATGTTAATGTCTTCTATAGTGTTTGAATCCTTAATCTTTGGTTACAATTAGATCCTTTGCATTTTATGTGATTTATTTGTTATAGGCATAAATTCCTTTGTCACTAATTTTACAGGGTAGTTTTATCCTCCTTCCGGCTACATGTATGTATGTTTGCTCTTTTTTTTATTTTATTTTTTTTTTCGTTCAAAGAAAAAAAAATCAATTAAAAATTAAAAATTAGTACAAGCATTTAAAAACTAAAAATCAAAATCAAAATTCAAAAACTCACTTCATTAAATGTTGAGATTGGCATTTGGAAATTAGTTATATACTTTGAATATAAATGGTTTTCAAATACAAGTATCAATATTTAATATCATAGATTTATGAATTTTAAATTGAGTTTTAGTTAAATAAAGCACTATTATTTAAGGTTGAGAATTTCAATTTCTTTTTTTTTGGAGTTAGGACTAATTACAGTGTACTGATCATAAAAAATTGTAAGAATATTTTTTCTATGAGAAATATAATTTCATTGATATATAAAACAATAAGGATTATAGAACCAGTTCGAATGGAGTACTATGCCGAAGGTATTATACCCATAAAATATGTGAAAGCACAAAATCAAATCATATAATAGTATAATATGTAGGCCAAAGGCCCTATGTGCACCCTATACATTTTTTCTTTCTACGGTCAGCATCCTAAACTAATTTTTGTTCCAATCAACACCCTCACTATTCGAAACCTGTGAAAAACTCAAAAATTAATAGTTAAACCCTCTATTTGCAGCTTGAATATATGGACAAATCCCTTATTTGCACCATAACTTTGTTGATAATTTGGGGTTTTTACGGGTTTTAAATTATCAAGGGTATTGATGGCAACAAAATTTAGTCTAGGGTGTTGACCACGAAAAGAAAAAATGTGTAGGGTGTAAATAAGAGGTTCAACCTAATAGTTACGTGAATATCATAGCCAAACCTAAGCTTGGGATTCAGTAGTTTAATTGCATTATATCATAATCTATCTAAATAGAAGGTAAATTAGTTGGGGTAGAGAAATTTAGTTAGGGATGTTGGCCCCAACTATGGCTTCAATAGTTGAAGCAAACACAATAACTAATTTGAGTCCAACTAATATTGTGTTTAACTTATCATTCTCCTTTGACAAGAGCAAATCCAGATAAAAAGTATTGAGAAAGTCAAGGTAGAAACTCTCAAAAAAGAAGGAGAAACCTCCACAAGAGAGGAGAGAACTCTCACCTTCAACGGTTAGCCATCCACCCTAACCACTAAAGGGGTGAGAGGCATTGATGACTAGGGAAGAGAAGAAAACAAAAAAGAAAGAGGAAAAAATCAAGGGAGAGAAGAAAGGAGATGGCTAGGGTTTGGTATAGTTACCTAGTAA